AAAAAAATCCTCCTGACCCCAAACTTTTAACAGTGTAAATTCTCTAATAGAATATGAATTTCTTTGAACTCTTTTAGTGTTTAAGAGATTTAATGTTAATGTTTTACTTTGTTCCTGTACCTTTTTAATGTGTGCTTTATTAAAGGGTAGTTCTGCCAAATAGTTCAGCCATGTATGACTGACTTTCCTTCTTAACACAAAAGTTACCTAAAAACATCTCTTTTTGTTTTGCGTAGATAGAATTTTTTGGATTTATTTTCCCTGTGTGAAGCGTGAACTATTCCATTAAAGAAATAGATAACCCAAATATGTAAATTTGCTGAAAATTTACTCCTCTTCAGGCCATCCAAGATGTAGATGAGTTAGTTTCTTTATGGGAACAGATTTGGAGAAATGAAGCATTACGTCACTTGCTCACCAATGGATGCTCTGCAGTGAATGGGTGCCGTCAGAATGAGAGTCCAAACGGCTGATAAAAACATCACAATAATCCACACCACTCCAGTCCACCAATAAACGTCTCGTGAAAAGCTGCGTTTTTGTGAGAAACTAATCCATCACTGAGACATTTTTAACTTCAAACTGTTGCTTCTGGCTAAAATACGTAATGCTGCATTTCTCCAAAACTGTTCCCACGAAGAAACAAACTCCTCTACATCTTGGTTGGCTTGAGGTTGAGTAAATTTTCATTTTTGGGTGAACTATTCCTTTAAGCACAGTAAAAAATGTGCTCGTTCATATCAAATGACTCTTGCTTGTATATGTGTTTGCAGGCAGAGTGCTGCTCCGATCACTTGCACTGCTGTTATCAGGGCACTCTGTGCGACTTGGTACACTCCAAGTGTGTGAACAAGACACACATTTTAGACTGGGTGGAAAAAGTCGCCACAAAGCAGGTAACACGCATACCTGCACAGCCAGAAATCCAGATAAGCCTTGAGTAAATATTCAGCATTGAAATAAAACTTTCTCTTTTTGTTTGTGATTTTAGCAAGCAGTAATTTGTCCAGATCAGGAGTCTGAGTGTCCCGATGACACCACCTGCTGCCAGATGCCTGATGGGAGCTGGGGCTGCTGTCCTATGAAAGATGTACTGTATATCACCTGTTTGAGCAGATTTCTGTTCTGGAATGTTGTTACATGTACATGGTAGTGTTTACACTTGTCTTTCTTTCTCTCTCTATGTGTGTGTGTGTGTGTGTGTTTAGGCTGTGTGCTGTGAAGATAAGCGACACTGCTGTCCTCAGGGAACTAAATGTGATCTTGAGCATTCAAGGTGTGTGTCGGCAACATACGGACCCTCCCCACTCTGGAGGAAGTTTGCTGCCCGTCGCAGGAAACCATCAGAGAGGAAAGCAGGTATGACAGTTTTACATTTGCATTGATCTGCATTATGCTTTATATTGCATATTGTCTGCTATGTGGTAATATGGGAACTTTTAAAACTTTGTGGTTGGTAAGGATTTGTAATGGTTTTTGAAAAAAAGTCTCTCTTGCTCACCAAGGCTGCATTTATTTGAAACCGTAAAAACAGTAATATTGTGAAATATTTTTGCAATTTAAAAGAACTGTTTTCTATTTGAATATATTTAAAAATATAATTTATTTCTTAGATACAAGGCTGAATTTTCAGCATCATTACTCCAGTCTTCAGTGTCACATGATCCTTCAGAAATCATTCTAATATGCTGATTTGCTGTTGTATTTATGTAATTGCAGTTGCTCCACCTAAAGACTCCAGTCATATTAGAGATGGTAAGTTTTGATCCATGAGCTCTACTTTATGTATTATTTATTTCTATTCATTATTCATCAAGTGTCTTTGTTAAAACTGACACCTGAGGATTCTGTGTGTGTGTGTGTGTGTGTTTATGTGGGCAGTGATCTGTCCAGATGAGATTTCTACATGTCCGGATGATACAACGTGCTGTGAACTGGATACCGGAAGTTACGGATGCTGCCCAATGCCAAAGGTGCGTCATACATGTATATTTAATAATTTTTCTTTAGGTTTGTATTTTATGGTTACCCTGTGGTTTGCATGTATTTCACTCACTGTAAGACTGAATTAACAAACATAAATGTGTTTTTACTGTAGGCTGTGTGTTGTTCTGATCATGTGCACTGCTGCCCAGAGGCCACGACTTGTGACCTTGTCCATAGTATGTGTGTGTCAGCCAGTGGTGTCATGGTAAAAATGGCCACTAAGATCCCAGCCACTTCCCTGAAGCCTAAAGGTAAACATCCATTTATTTTATCTTTGTGCAATTAAAGCGCCCACCATTCTGTATCATGGCATCCATCATCTGTGTGTGTTGAAATTGAAAGTTTTGCCCTCTTGTTTCTATATAGAATATGCATCAGTTCCTCTCTTTATTGCTCTTTCTGTCTGCAGAAAAAGTAGTTCCCTGTAATGAGACGGTAGCGTGTGCTAGCGGTACCACCTGCTGTAAAACACAAGAAGGCACCTGGGCTTGCTGCCCTTTACCAAAGGTATTCAAGCTGTCAGATTTATTTTAAAACCGCTTCGGGTTGATTGTGGCCCAGTATCATTTATGCATGTGAAAACCCAGCCCCAAACAAAAGTTTGTGAGATCAAATCATCAATTTCTATTGGAGGAAAACATAAAATAGTGTTTGGAGTAATGTTGTCCTCATCTCTAGGCGGTGTGTTGTGAGGACCATATCCACTGCTGTCCAGAGGACACGGTGTGTGACCTCGCAGCGAGCACCTGTGATGACCCTGCTGACCTTTCAGTGTCTGTACCCTGGATGGCAAAGGTGCCCACCTTTCCAATAGCTTCATCCAATCAGAAATGTGATGAGACATCTTCGTGTCCTGATGGTTCCACCTGCTGCAGACTCTCATCTGGAAAATGGGGCTGCTGCCCTCTGCCACAAGTAAATACTTTTTCTTTGTCTCATTTTATCATAAACATGCTTATTGGTAAAACTGTAATTTAAAATGTGTATATACTGCATATGTATTATTTATTTAAAATAAATGAATATTTTATGTTTATTATTTTTCATTTATTTTGAACAACCTGCTGTAATCTAACCTCAGGCTCATGGGCCTGCTGTCCTATGCCACAGGTACAAACACATTTAGCAATAAGGGGTTAGACCTACAGCAATATAACAAGAGCATGCTTGCACTTTTAATGGCATAAAATGCATAAATGTGACCCTGGAGCACAAAAGCAGTCTTAAGTCGCTGGGGTATATTTGTAGCAATAGCCAAAAATACATTGTATGGGTCAAAATGAATGCCAAAAATCATTAGGATATTAAGTAAAGATCATGTTCCATGAAGATTTTTTTGTAAATTTCCTACTGTAAATATATCAAAACTGAATTTTTGATTAGTAATATGCATTGCTAAGAACATCATTTGGACAACTTTAAAGG